AGCATATAAAAGTTGAGAATAATTGAGTAAGTCTAAAACATATCTGCTCACTCCCTTGTCCTCTGCTTCTCTAGCCTACCTTTCTTTAAATAGTACATGTTTCTTTTACACCTTGGTCCACTCATTCCCAAGGATTCTGATTCAGTAGGTTTAGGGTGGAATTCTGGGCTTTTATTTTTGGAAAAATCTCCCTAGAGGATTCAAATATGTACCCTTGATTAGGAATAAATAGTTTAATATTGGAATCAAAACACAATAAGCTTTCTAACTAAAATGAATAATCCAATAGATTTAATTATGATTTTCTCTCTGTTCTAAACTAAGACTCAATGTTAATTGCCAGAGTCATAGATAAGTATGCCTATGACAATAGCATGTTAATATGATATCAAAGCTTAGAGATTTCATTGCTAATGAATAATTCAGTACTTCAAATATTTCAAAACTAAACTAGGAAAATTAATTTATGTTTTTCACTATGTGAATAAAATTGATTGTGGCTTTACATTTAAATCTGTAAATCAAATGTTATCACTCTTAGGCTCAGAGGCTAACTGTAAAATTCCATGTGCATAGTTTGACTTCCTGTTTTGATCCATTAGCTTGCTGTGTTACACTGTATCACTAAAAAATCTCCTCAAGTATAACAAATTTGCAAATACTCCTCCTGGTTACAAAATCTTCTCACACAAATGCAATAGGCTATTTAATGAACTCCTCTTCCACAAAAATTATATTAAAAAAGTCTAAAGACACTTGTTTGAGACACTATATAAATGAGATTTTAGTCTAGCAATTTTAAATTATTGCTTCATTCTTAGCTATTCAAGTCTATCTCTTATCTGGGAAATGAAAATAATAAAACCCTTGTTGATTCTACAATTGGGTTGTGAACCAGAGGGGCTAAGATCAAGAATACAAAGCAAAGGGGCTGAGAATAAAAATTCAAAGCAGCTTTATCAATGTCATTATATCCAGCAATAAGAATTTTTTGATTACTTAACAGATTAAAAAAGAAAAAAAAATTTACTCCATAACCTTCCTATTCACAGTGTGGTCCCCCAAGCAGCAGTGTGGGCATCCCCTGGGAGCTTGTTAGGGATGTAGACTTTGGAGTCCTCCATAAACCTACAGATTCAGAGATTCAGAATCTGCATCTTAACATGATTTCTCGGACATTTGTGTATATATTAAAGTTTGAGCTGCAGTGCTATAGCACACATCTGATTGTATCCCATACATTTTTTTTAAAAAAAGGTATTTATTAATAATTTATTATGCATTGGACACCTTGGAGATACAAATACAAGCCATTATATTTCTTTTAGACTCTGTGACTTCTGTTCTAGGAAAAGATTTCCCCATTTCAACAGTCCCTCATATTGGCTTGATCCAGTTGGTTACCAAGTCTTGTTGATTGTTCCTTAACAGTTCATCTAACTTTAGCTTGTCTCACAGAACATCTAACTTCTGCTTCAGAATTGTCCAGGAGCACAGCTCTAGCACTGAATCCCTTCCATTTAAAACGTGGACCATTTCCGACTGCTTTTTAATGAATTGCAAACTTCTTTATAAAAAGTAAAGGAAAACATAGTCTTCTCTCTGCCCATGTCCTGATACATGCCCAGCGTTGCACCTTTTCCTAGAGCCCTGGTCACACAATTAACCGTTTGGCGGCTAACTGATAGGTCGGTTGTTTGAACTCACTGGTTGCTCTATGTGAGAATAATGTGCTAATCTGCTTCCATAAAGATCATACCTTATGGGTATGTTCTACCGTGTCCTATATCATTGCTATAAGTTGAAATGGACTCAATGGCAATGTTTCTTTCTTTTTTTTTTTCTTTTTCTCTTTTACCTCTTTCTAAACTCCTGCTGTCATACAGTGACAGAGTCCAACTGCTTCCTCCCCATCAGATATTGCAAATTGTACTAACAGGCCTTTCCTTCTGCCAGGCACTCACTGCCCTTGACACTCCATGTACCTAAGTCCTAGACAAACAACCAAAAGTTCCTATGGAGTTGCCATTGAGATGACTCCAACTCATGACAACCCCATGTGTCAGAGTACAGCTGTGCTCCATAAGGCTTCCAGTGGCTGAATTTTTGGCAATAGATTGTCAGACTTTCTTGGGAAGCACATTTTAGTGGACCAGAACCTCCACACTTTCAGTTAGCAGCAGAGCTAGTAAACTGTTTGCAACATCAAAACCCACTGCCATTGAGTCGGATCTGACTCATAGCGACCCCTCCTTGGGTTTCTGAGGTGATATCACTATGGAAATAAATTGCCCAATCTTCCTTGTGAGGAGTGGCGGGTGGGTTTGAACTGCCAGCCTTCTGTTTAGCAGTTACATGCCTTAGGCACCACGCCACCAGAGGTCCTTTGCACCATCTAAGGACAACTATATTGTACCCATTCTTCAATTCCAAATTCTCCAAAAAGTCTCCCCTGTTCATCTTCCCACTGACATCACCTCTCTTCTGAACTAGAATTTATTGAGCATCTTCTTTTGCTTTTCCATCTATCCTGTTACATAAGGAGCCCTGGCAGTACACATGAATAAGTGCTCAACTGCTAACTGAGCAGACTGAAAGACTGGCAGTTCAAACCCACCCGACAGCTCTGCAGGAGAAAGATCTGGCACTCTTCTTCCCTAAGATTACAGCCAAGAAAACCCTATAGGGAGGTTCTACTCTGTAACCCATAGGGCCACTATGAGTTCAAATTGACTCTTCAGCACCTAGTAGCTGGCATTTAGTGTAGAAGTTTATCCTTTTCAACTGTGTCTAATCTCCTCTACTCTATTGTACACTAAGACTGAGACATTTGTACTCATTTCTTTGAATATTTAGGAGGCCCATTGATAATTTTAAGACTAATACCATGGCAATGATTGGACTGAATTTCCTTCCTCCCTCTTCCCCTCCCCCCTTCTTTCCTTCCTCTCTCCATTCCCTCCGTGGTGCCTTCTTTCTTCTCTTCCTTCATTCTTTCCTATGTTCCTCCCCCTCTTCCCCTCTCCCTTCCTTTATTCATAGATTCATGTGATCATTCAACAGGAAAAAAAAAAAAAGAAAAGAAAAACCTCTTCAGCACTAGGTATTGTACTAAGTGATAGGGACACAATGATAAATAAGACAATCTCTGAGCTCAAGGAATTTACAGTGTAAGGGGGATATACAGAGTTTGTTATGACTGAGTGTACCTGTTGCTAAGCTATGACTGTCAGATGCAACACTGATCTGAACAGGTGATAAAGAGTGAGATGTAAACAGTGAAGCAATTAGTCAACTAGTCATAAGGAAATAGCTCATGTTTGCTAGAGCATATCTCATGAGCATTCCTCAACAGAGTAGGGGCTCAACAGCTTGCAAATAGTTCAATACCTGTGCATGGTTTTATACACATAGTGAGGCACTGTGTCCTTGGAATAATGGCCTTGTTTTCGTTTTTGATGGTTTATGGAGTCTTTTGACTGCTAAATGTTTGCTACCAAAAATTCGAGTATTCAAAAATACCATTATACCAAAGTAGTAAAACAAACAGATGACAACAACAAAACCAGGCAGTTTATGTGGAAGGAGTCTAAAGAAGGTTTGATCAAGTATCAGAAAGCATTCACTTATGTACTCATTCATTCATTAATTTGTCACATAGAAGCTGGAGTCTACTATGAGCTTTGTATTGGATCAAGAGGCAGGAAAAGTACCTAAGGCATTTGACTGCTAACCAGAAAGCTGACGGTTCAAACCCACCAGCTACTCCTTAGAAGGAAGATTGGGCAATCTGTTTCCATAGAGATACTTCCTCAGAAACTCAAGGAGGGGTCACTATGAGTCAGATCTGACTCGATGGCAGTGAGTTTGGTTTGGTTAGTTAGACAATTTGAATCATCTCTATTAGGAGAGTATCTGCATAGTGACACTATTCCATCAGTAACGTAAGTATTTGGGAATCATTTAGATTTAAATGTAGTAGGACTCTCAAGTTCACATATATTGTTTCATTTTTCTAAACTTCATGTTTAGTAAATGTGTTCTTTTAATTGCCTTACATATTCTACATTTACATTTTTATTTCATTGCTAATAAAAGCATCTTCATTGGTTGTGTTTATCTCTTTTTTTAATGAAACTATTTCTCTGACACTTTACTCTTAGAATTTCATTCAGGATAAAATATAGAAGATATTTAAGGTGGACACCATCAATGACTCATAAAAATGTTCTGATAGCTATAGATTATTTTAAAATTTATTACTGCATCTTAGGGATTTCTTTATAGGCTGCCCCCAAAAGCAATTAATTCTGAGTTATATATATATATATATATATCGGAAGGAAGGTTGGGCAATCCTACTTCCGTAGTGATACTGCCTCG